TCTTTATTTATTTCAGCGCCCCCTTACCCTCCCCCATTTCTGAAGAAGAGTCCCGACCCGAAACGTCAGCTTTCCTGCTCCTCTGATGCTGCCTGGCCCGCTGTGTTCCTCCAGCTCCACACCTTGTTATCTCAGACTCCAGCATCGGCAGTTCCTACTATCTCTGAGTGAGTTATAATTTTATACAAGTTAGTTATTATGATGGGAGAGATAGGTTGGAAAAGATCAGATGCTCATGGGACACAAGTAAGTGTATCACTTTAACTTTCCATGACAGCATCAAAATGGTAACATCAGATCCACTGCCAGTCATGCATTAGAAAGAAAGTTCAAGAAGTAGGTTAAATGAATGCTGACCCTATATTGCTCATTTTACCCTGTCACTAGTACCTTGCTGCTGCAACAAATAGGAAGTGTTTCCTGTGAAACTCTAACAAAAGGCTGAAGAATGGAATTGTAGAGGTACTTGAAATGGTTACTTGATACTTAGGAAGGAGTAGGATGTAGCACTTGGGGCAAAGGGGATGAAAGGATATCGGACAAAGCAGGAACAGGTTACGGAGTTGGACGACTGGCCATGATCATGGTGGGGTGGTGCAGCAGGCTCAAAAGGCCAAGTGGCCTACTCCTGCCCCTATTTTCTGTTTTTTTCTATTCAATGTTTGGCTCAAATAGATGGAAAGTTATCAATGATAGAGCGGACAATGTAGTCTGTAGAAGCTTTAAGCTGAATGACTGAAAGCCCTGGCTTTCTTCAATTTGAGCTACGTTGTGATTTCTGACTTCAACAAAAGACCCATTATGTTTTGCTATTGCTCTAGTGTTAGACAGATCTTAATGGAGTCATTGTAGTCAAATTATCGTATGAGTTCACCGCTTTATGCTGATATGCACTAATGAGTTATATGTGAAAGGAACTGCAGGCATTATTAGACAATTTGAATGCTTCTGTTTGACTGAGAAGAACTAAGGCAGGTTTAACCTGTTCTCACGCATCAACTAGGATTAACGTCCACAATTAATATATTGTAACATGATCTATTAATAAACACTACTTATGTGTGCGCCATTCTGAAATAGTTTGATACCAGCTACGTACATGAATGGTGTCTTTTCCAGAGATAAACAAGGTGACCTGGGACTGCCAACTTTTGAAATTTTGAAAGGTACAGTATTTGCTGTGAATTGCTGTAATATCTAGGGCACGCAAAACTGGATCTTGGCGATTACTCTGTTGCGGCACGTCACATTAGTTTAAAAAAAAATTCTTGGCTGGTAAACAGCACTAAAACTAATAGACAGGATAACCACAAAATAATCCATATATCACTCAAAACAATTCCGATAAGCACATGTAGCAATACCTATTTTTTTAATGTCACCATCATTCATTTTCACATTTTCTAGTACCAGCTTTTCAATGTTTTTCAAGCAATGTATCCCATTAATGAATCCTCCTGAAAGAGAAAGTGGGAAAAACAGTGTAAGAACTATTCCAAATAGTGCAGACACTTTATCTTATGCCTTTATTATACTCAAATTGCTTATAAGCTGCAATAGTTAATACTTATTATCAAAGATTATCGGAATAAAATCAAAATTATAAATATTCAATCAATTACAACCTTTCAGCCACGTGGTACCTACTTTTATTCATTCACGGGATAAGGGCGTCACTGGTAGGCAGCATTTATTGCCCTCCCCTAATTGCCCAGAGGGTAGTTAAAAGTCAACCACATTGCTGTGGGTCTGGAGTCACATGCAGGCCAGACCAGGTAAGGATGGCAGTTTCCCTTCCTAAAGGACATTAGTGAACCAGATGGGTTTTTCCAACAATCGACAATGGACTCACAGTCATCATTAGATTCTTAATTCCAGATATTTATTGAATTCAAATTCCACCATATGCCGTGGTGGGATTCAAACCCAGGCCCCCAAAACATTATCTGGGTCTCTGGATTAACAATCCAGAGATAATACCACTAGGCCATTGCCTCCCCTCGTTATCACATAGTGTATCTAGAAAGTGACATTGTCGTTTGCAATTTTAAGGGGAAAAAGAATTTTGCTGTAATTTCATCCTAAACCTACTCCTAACTGTGATCAGATACCTACTGTAAGGTGCTTGCACATGGATATTAGAACAGGGTAGAATGCCTGATACTTGGAATGCTCTATTGAAATAGGAACATTAAGAATAGTCACTTCTGAAGGAAGCAAAATTGCTAGTACCCTTAGATCTATACTCAGACATGCATTAGTATCTGCAGGAGAGGAAGAAGACTTGTGTAACAATGACCTTTCTGTGGACTTACCATTTCTATGTTCTGTTTGGAGATCAGTCAGGTGCAATGTCTTTAATTGGGTCATCTTCACTATTTGTTGTTCATCTTCCTCCGTTAATGGTGTGGATTCGATAACCAGATCCTGCACATTCCGTGCACATGTATTCAGAATTTTATGAAGTTTTCCTGTAATTCCTGCACTTTTGCTTATATATAGTATTAAAGCTGAAGCAGAGCAACAGATTTTACCAATGCACTTGATCTCCCTTGGTTTTAAGCCTGGAAAATCTCTCATGGTGATTTGCAATGTGTTAAAGGACTGATTCCAGGGTGTTTCATAGAAGAGTTTAATGGCAGGCTCAGGTATTAGTGCCTGAGTTACACTCTGTGCTTGATTTTCACTCTCAGTTTTCTTGATTTCATTTAGACTTGAAGAAGTGAAGTTTCCAAAAAAGTCAAGTTTAATGAGACCTAAAGCTCTTAAACAGGTCGGCAAATGTTCAAAAAAATAGAAAAGGTAATCTGGTATAAAATGGGAATTGATATGGAGTGTTTTGTCTTGCAGAAAAGTTTCAAACTCTCCAGCCAGAGCAGATTCAGATCGGCTTTCATAGACAAACGTCAGGCCACGTTCAACAAGCGTGTTCATGTTTAGGACTTTAAGTCTCTCTACTTCCTCTGAACTTTGCATCTGGGTTTCTACATTCACACCATCTTCATTGTCATTAAGGAACTGCAGGAGTGTTCCATGGTCCTTAACACTTACAATGTACTTGAATACTTCAGCAGCAGCATCTTTGGATGATCCACATGTATATTGAAGTAGATTCTGGTATTTGAAGGTGATGTCTGAGATAGTTCCAATTTTCTGTAAATACATCTGCCCTCTGGAAACCTCTGTTGCTGAGCTTGATGTTAACAGTTCATGTAGCCTCCTGCCTGCAGTGTACTCCTGAAAGGATTTGTGAAAGAATCTGTAAACTGGTTTCAGTCTCTGAGCACCATACTTATTCAGGAGGCCTGCTGCCAACAGCAGCCTTTCCTCTTTCTGAGACGACAAGTCCTCTATGGTAAAATCAAACTTGGACTTAAAGACTCCATCCAAAGCCAAGTCTCCACAATGTTTTATGCTCTCAATAATGTATTCTTCTGGCAAGTCTCTGGTTTTGTATTGATTTTTATTGATCATTAGCTTGTGCAAGGTATGGAACAATGCTGTTTGTGTCTTTGGAATGAAGTCATCATCCCCCATTTGGATGGCACATGCGATCACTACAAAGAGTGGAGTCTTCATCATCTCCTTCATAGTACTCGATTGCTCAAGTTGAATCAATAAACTTTTGGCCAAGGATTCCTCAAGGACATTTTCCATCAGCATTTGAGCACTGCTGTAACTCAGGTCTCCTATTTTCACTAGGAGATCAGCATAGCTTCGAACCTGGCTCAGGGTCTCAGTTCGTGTTGTTAAAACCACGGAGTGCTTGTACTGGACATTCTTTGTGAAGAGCCTGGCAGTCTCAGGATAATCTTGGGGCTTAAATTCATCAAAACCATCCAAGCAAAACAGCACTTTTCGCTCCAGCGTCTCTATGATTTTCATGAATGTTGCACTGTCCACACTGTACGGTTCCCTAAGAAGCTGTTCACAGATGCTTTCGTACAATCCTTTCTGCATACTCCTGAGGCTAATAAAGAAAACTAATTTAAAACCATTGAGTGAGGAGTGTTTGCCAGAAGCCCAGAGAGATGCGATTCTCTTCAAAACAGTTGTTTTACCTTTGCCAGCTTCACCTTCAATCACTGTTAGGTCTTTTAGTTCACCCAAAAGGTCCTGGAACTGTAGTTGGTTTATTGTGCGGTTGCTTGTGTTTTTTTTCCAGAACACAGCATCTGAAAAGGTGGTTTCCAGATCGAAAATGATGTCTATTTCCTCGCCGAGGGGATGGAACTTTTGAAAAGCTGAAGATAGATAAAGTCTCCGTAAATCTTCAGCAATCATTTCAACGTCCTTCTCTGTGTATTTCTGGATATCTTCAGAGACAAAATGGAAAAGATTAACTGAAGTTTTACTTTGGTTGCAGGTAATTAGCGTACATTGTAAAATAATAAGGAATAATAAGAAAACTTTGTTTTCTACTGCAGTGGCATTCTTCATACGTTAATCAAAGTTGCCTCTTTCAATGTTTGTAGCAAATGATTCGTGTGTTTGCTAAAAATGCTGCACTGATGAAGCTAATTTGCCTGAATACATTTATGATGCCAGTGCATGCAGTAATCCTTCCTCCTAAATTGTTAGATGGACATTACAGGTAATATGGAAAAGGCTTAATTTAGTGTTGCAAAGTAGATGGGGGGCAGGGACTCACACATCTGCGAAGATGTGGAACAAGAAGAGAGGCCAGTACAGGAGATTCTCTTGGCTCCCCTGGAAGAAAGTCAAAATAGAAGCGGGGTGTCCCTTCCCACTGGGCAACAGACAAAAGGCATTGTAGAAGGTTGGAGTAGTCTACCATCTCAAAAGCTGTAGACATTGAGAAAGATGATGGTGATGCATCACAAATACCATTTGTAGCTTTGAATATGGTAATTTTACTGCAATAGATTGGTGGGAAAGATAGCCTTGGGCTTGTTATAGAGCTGGAAGTAGGCAGGCTTTGTACTAGACTGGGGTTGTGAGGTCAGAAGCTTGGCTTAGAGTCAAACCGAGGATGTGAATGCTGTGACAAATGTACAAGACAGGACTGAGCTAGTTATACAAAGGAACTATCAGGGATGAGAGGATCTGGAATCTTTTGAGATTGAGGGCATTAAAAGCTGATGGAAGGCGGTTATACACTTGCCGTTTTACTTGCATTTATTAGGGCTAGACTGGAAGAAACAGATTTTTAAAAAAAACATCAATTTGAGCAGCATGAGAAGGGTTGATATGGAAAGACAACAGAAATGGTAAACTGTCAAATTATCCATCTTAGATTATCTTGGAAAATAAAGGTGTCTCAAAACACTGAACAATAAGTGAAGTTAGCTGTCTCACACTGCTACTTTGCAGCAAAATCACCAGTGGTCTTCTCAGGATGCTGCCATCAAGGTAAAAAGAGTATTGCCGACCTTACAAATGAGTAACATGATATATGAGTTTCAGCGCTGGTGTGTTGCCAGGTATATGGACCATACACTGCAATGACTAGCAGACTGTATCAAACAACCTATGTCATTAATCATTCACAGTGGACAGCATGCCAAACATCTCAATCAGCCTGTGCTTGCAAGCCTCAGAACTCTATGTCCAATACTGATACTATTCTACTATTGGACTGCATTTACTAAATGATCTGAACCAGAATTAATTTAAGGTTATCAGATGAGCTTGCAGTATGATGCATTTGTGTGTGCTAGAAGCTATTAATACACAAGAGCCTGTTTTACATATGTATGTATGAATTTCTAATACCTAACACTAATTCTCATCAGGAAAAGTAAGTCATGGAGACTGCCAATTTCTTCTACATTCCCATGCCAATACCTTGACTAATGAGAGTCTGTTCTGAGAACTAAAATTGACAGTTCCTGCTATATCTACATTCCAACGATTGTGTACCCAATCAGCACCCTCTTCTCATGCTGTTCAAATTGGTGCCCCCTTTTTTTAAGTCTATTTCCTGTGTCCCAGCCCAATGTATGCAAAACAGAAAGCTTTAACTTCTTGTCTCCTTTTAACTGCATTTAGGTTCTGTACTACCAAGCAATGGGTTACACAAAGGATCAAAGTGAGGAAAGATTATAGGTTAAGAGTATGGAAAATAAGTGAGAATAAAGTACAAGAAGTATAAGTTTGGTCTTTGTGAACATATAGAAAAAGGAGGTCACATGGAGCCCGAGATCTCAGAGGTGTTGAGTTTCTATGTGATAATGACACTGTAGAGAAAGAAGGGGTCAAAAAAGTTGCCACAATTTGAGGAAGGGGTCAAAAAAGTTGCCACAATTTGAGGAAGGGGAGTTATAATGAAAACTGACCTCACTGATATAAGGAATTATTCAGTGCAGCAACTAAGCATGGGCATGATGTGAGGTGGCGAGCCAGAAAGTAGCAGAGTTTAGGGAGATAGTAGATATGCAGGATTTTAACATAGATGCGGGCATATCCATAAGAAATCAATAAGATTAGTTTAGTTTGGTGTTTGTTGGTCAGCACAAACATGGTGGACCAAAGGGCCTGTTTCTATGCTGTATGACTCTGTGACTCTAAGATGAGGTGGTTCAAACATGGATTAAGAGGGGAAAATATTAAGAATTATGTCAAGGCAGAATAGAAGGCGCCAGCAATGGTGCTGTCATGATGAAGTGAATGACAGATGTAGCAAGATTAGGAAACAGGACTGGGGAGACCCCATAAGGCTGAAGCATTCCCATCAAAACATAAGAGTTCTGACACGCTCCTCCACACTGAGATTGTGAATAAGGAATCTGTAGTAATTGTAATGATGGCCAGGTGGATCTCATGACTATGAGATCTTTAATTGGGTTTGTTATCCTGGACCAATCAGGGACCCCTGGCTGACAGATATAAACAGGAGATTCAGCGTCTTCTCATTCTAGGGGCTGGCTCCAAGCTGACTGGTCAGAACCAATGTACTGTGCACATATAAACAAAAGGTGACTTACAGGATACCGGCCTCTGTGCAGTTATTTCAGAATCATAAACTGAAAAGAAAAGGGAATGGGGAAGGTGCATATGTAACATACATCTAGGGTGTAGAGAAGTGGGGTATAAAATGTGGCTGTGGGAACAACAGCATTGAAGAAAGAATAGAAGCTGATCAGGAGAGAGATATGGTGAGACAAGGGGGAATACAGAGGTTGGTGATCTTCCATGGAGGGTGACAGCCAATTTGTTCATGTAGGTGAATAAACAAGATAAGAGACAAAAGAAAACTGCAGATGCTGGAATCCAAGGTAGACAAACAGGAGGCTGGAAGAACACAACAAGCCAGGCAACATCTGGAGGAAATGAGAAGTCAACGTTTTGGGTATTACCCTTCTTCAGGATTGGATGTGGGGGTTCGGGGAGCTGCAGATAAAGAGGGGGGTGCAGGGGTGTAGAACTACCCAGTTAGTCCCATTCTCTAGCCCTATCTCCATAGCCTTCCACATTCATCACTTTCAAATACATATACAGCTCTCTTTTGAAATCTCCCATGGAATCTGCCTTCACCACGTCCCCAGGCAGCACATTCTGAATCCTAACAAATCTCTGAGTAAAGAAGTTTCTCCATATCTCACTCCTGGCTCTCTTGCTGACAATCTTGAAATTGTGACTGCTGGTTACTGACATATCAACAGAATATCCTTCTTTAATCTGTCAAAATTGCTCCTAATTTTGAGCACATCAATAAGGTCACTTCATAATGTTCTCTGCTCCAAGGAGAATAAGCCCAATTTCTCTAATTTTTCCTTGTATCTAAAATCCCTCATTCCTGGTATAATTCTCGTAAATCTCCTTTACACTTTCTCCAGGATTTTAACATCCTTCCTTAAGTAAGATGCTCAGAACTGAACACAACTGTCCAAATGCGATCTGACCGATGATTTTGCTTTTATACTCAATGCCTCTATTTATAAACCAAAGGATCTTATATGCCTTCTTAACACGTGTTTCAACATGCCTGGCCACCTTCAGAGAATTATGCATTTGAACCCCGAGGTCCCTCTGCTCCTGTACTCCCCTCAAATTTGTAGCATGGTGCCTGTATTTTCTCTCCATGTTTCTTCTACCAAAATGCATTAGCTCAGATTTCTCTGCATTGAATTTCATCTGCAAGGTGCCTGCTCATTTGGCCAACTTGTCAGTGTCCCTCCTGAAGTCGCTCAGCATCATCCTCACAATTCTTCACAGTTTGGTATCATCTGCAAATTGAGATTTTGCAACCATTTCTTTGCTCACTGTCAACACTCAAGCCTTCCATCACTTCCTTTTCCCTGTTCCCCATCTTCTCTCTTTTGCCTTCACAAGTACTTGCAAAACTAAGCACACCACCACCCCTGCCTTGCCTTACAAGGTTTGAACTCATGTTTGGGCATTGGCTTAGATCTTGGGATTACTCATCCAGTGACATTACCAGGATGTCACTTTCCAAAGGAAACTAAGATATTAATTGATATAAAATAGAGCTGTAACTAGGGAAAGATTAAATTCACAAATAAAATATGCCCTCACTCACTTGTGCATTTCAGGTCCTGAAAGAGATACTGGTCGTAGCACTTGAGGTAGTCCAAAAATAGTTCACATGCAGCTGTTCCCTTGTTCTCAATGTAGCCAAGAATCACCCTGGCTTTTTCCTGAGACAGCAATGTTCCCTGAATCAAATCTTTCTCTTCAGTGTTTAGAACTCCAATGGCGTAAAGTTTATCAACCATCTGGTCGATTACCTGTCTTCCCATTCTTTGAACCAGTTCAGAACGTCGTTCTCGAACGAAATCCACTGAAAAAGATTGACCAGGATGGCACAATGTTAGAAAGGGATAAATAAATGGTGCACTTATTTAGGAGGTGGAACCTATTAATTGATCGTTATTACAGTCAAATAGCCACTTATTTGTATAATTTAAGATAAAGGACGGACTTTTATATGGAGTCATGAAGACTCAGAAAAACTTTAAAAATGACAAGTAGAGACCTGAATACAGAAGTCCCACCCCATTTCTGCCAGATCTGATTTTATTGTCAGGGCAAGGGCTCGACTCACAGGAAGAAAACCCAAACTTAGCAGGGCTATTTAAACTCAGTGCTGAGGCCCTTCACCACAATGTAGGACTCATGAGTTGATGGAATAGAGATAAACATTTTTGAATGGCAGGAAATATCTTTATAACTGTCATGATCTGAATCCTCTGTTCTTTAAACTTTAAACCACAGGCTGCAACTGTCTCTAAGAGTTCAGGAGTCTGCTGGAATGTGTCGATTGACAGGTTCTCTGCCTGTTGATTAGTAAAACAATTGGTTGTGCAGTTTCAATAGAATACTTTTATTGATATTTCTCAAAGGCCTTACTGTGCCATTATGAATGCTTGGCTGAGTTTCAAAAATCAATGATTATCTGAGCATGGAGTTATGAATTCATAATTTGACAGTTTAAATAAGCTTTAAAAAATAGTTAACTTTGATGTAGAGTCTGAACAGATGTTCACCTTTTAGAAGAACTTAACCACTTAAAGGAGATATAAAAACTTTAATTTAGTTCTCTGAATGGGAATGTTCACACACTAAGGTACACACTACTATTGAACACTTAGGAAATTAGATTATTAGAAGTTTGTTTTTGTTCAACTTCACATGGCTCCTGAGGTCTGCCTATGTGTATATTGGGTAAGTGGCCATGGAGGTGGATTGGGAGGGGATGAGATGCCAGGGGAAGGATTGGGGATTGAGGGATTGTGAGAGGTAGTGCTTACAGCTTCTGAAACAACTTGGATAATTTTTCAGAGAACCAGCCTGCTTTAGCCCTCACCCACACCCGGGACTTTCTATATTCTGTTTCTGACATCGGTGAGACCAATTCCATCCTGCACCTAAACTGAAATGCACGTGTTTCGGACTAGATTGTACCGAAGTGGGTCTAGCACATTGGAAAATGCCCACGCTCAAGCTACCTGCATTAGCCTTGGAAATGAGTTAAGAATTACACAAAAAAATGAACTGGATTAAATGTATTTTGTTTTTCTATTGTGTATGCATGTAGGCAGTTGTGGAATATGTACAAATGAGATGAATGACATATTGGATGATCCAGTAGTCTAATAACATTTTTAGAAGTGACCTTGATACAAAACTTACGTTGATGAAATATCCTATCAGAATTCACCTATCTGAAGACAGAAGCCACACAACACTAGGTTATTGTCCAACAGATTTATTTGAAATCACAAGCTTTTGGAACACTGTTCCTTTGTCAGGTGAAATGACTTCACCTAACTTCACTTGATGAAGGAGCAGCGCTCCAAAAGCTTGTGAATACAAATAAATCTGTTGGACTATAACCTGGTGTCATGTGACTTCTGACTTTGTCCACCCCAGTCTAACACCAGCACCTTGACATCATACCTATCTGAAGTGTTAGAGCGGAGAATCGCATATAGCTGAACCTTAAGATGTAGGAGCAGAAGTAGGCTGTAACATTTGAGTGAGGTCATGGCTGATCTGATAATCCTCAACTTGACTTTCCTGCCTTTTCCCTATAAATCTTGATTCCCTTACTGATTAAAATCTGTCTATCTCAGCCTTAACAACCCAGCCTCAACAGGGGCTCTGCAGTAAAGAATCCCATCATTTCACTACCATCTGAGAAAATAAATTCCTCCTCATCTCTATTTTTAATAGGTGACACCTTATTCTGAGCTTATGTCCTCTGGTCCTAAGCTATCCCACAGGAAAGAAGGTATTCCACCCAATTCAGTTTTAAAGGAGGTGCTCTGACTCTACAAAGGCATAGGAGTCCTATAGCCCTCATTACTATATTAAAGGGGGTTTGATGTCTGGAACAGGCAGGCTTTTTGGGTCAGCATTTCCTGTGACCCTACTAAGATACAGAAATGCCTGACTAACCTGATTGCTTCATGCTCCTTAAGAAACACTCCAACCCACATTATGTTGTTGCCTTCCAGCTATAGTGAGTCATTAACAGGAACTAACACAAAAGATGATCTCCTAATTCTGAGACTTTCTGAAAAGACTATTGTCGACATAAAGTGTGATGAGCAAACAGAGCTGAAAAAATGGATTTCCCACCAGCTAATGTCAGATTGCATTTAAGTACTTACTGGTATCTCTTAGTCAATGAAGACCTATTAATAAGTTGGAGATGTCATGACAGAAGAGCTGTATCTGAAATATAAGACAATAAATAATGTTTGAGAGCATCACAATGCAACTTATTCGTAAACAACTAATTACAATGCTGGAGTTTCAGGATCTTCACTGTTCCTAACAATAAACTTCACTAGGCTCTCCAGATAGCTCAGTTGGTAAATGTGCTGCTAAACCATAATGAAAATGAGAAGAACTATTTACATTTGCATTTATACAAGGCCTTTATTGTAGAAAAATTTTCCAAGATAAACAAAAGTAACACCGAAACATATAAAAATATATTATTCAACCTGATATACAATTTTCAGTAAAATAAAATTTCATAAACTTTCCATTACCAAATTAAAATATTTAATGACCATGTTTCTCTTTCTAATAGAATAAAGCTACACTGTATTTGTTACGTTTCCCAAGCACTGTATGACTGCAACCGATAAACTCAATTTCTCACAAAACTATCAGGTTTTATAATGTTTTTAAGTTCCATGAAAGTGGTTACGGGACCATTAGCATTTAAAATAAAATTTTAAAAAACAAACAACAGTACTAGCCCAGCACCCCCAAGAACAAATCAATTTATTTCCTTGAATGTACAACAATCTGCTTTTCAACATAGCAGCAGTTTTGTGTGTATTTTGTACATTCAATTTTGCTTAAGCTTTTCCACTTCCGGCACAAACTGCTGGTTAAAGTTCTGCAATACTTCTCTTTTTTGCTTCAATGCTTCATGCTCCTTCAGAAACACTCCAACCCACATTATGTTGTTGCCTTCCAGCTATAGTGAGTCACTAACAGGAACTAACACAAAAGATGATCTCCTAATTCTGAGATCTTCTGAAAAGACTATTGTCGACATAAAGTGTGATGAGCAAATAGAGCTGAAAAAATGGATGTCCTACCAGCTAATGTCAGATTGCGTTTAAGTACTTACTGGTCTCTCTTAGTCAATGAAGACCTATTAATAAGTTGGAGATGTCATGACAAAAGAGCTGTATCTGAAATATAAGACAATAACTAATGTTTGAGAGCATCACAATGCAACTTATTCGTAAACGACTAATTACAATGCTGGAGTTTCAGGATCTTCACTGTTCCTAACAATAAACTTCACTAGGCTCTCCAGATAGCTCAGTTGGTAAATGCGCTGCTAAACCATAATGAAAATGAGAAGAACTATTTACATTTGCATTTATACAAGGCCTTTATTGTAGAAAAATTTTCCAAGATAAACAAAAGTAACACCGAAACATATAAAAATATATTATTCAACCTGATATACAATTTTCAGTAAAATAAAATTTCATAAACTTTCCATTACCAAATTAAAATATTTAATGACCGTGTTTCTCTTTCTAATAGAATAAAGCTACACTGTATTTGTTACGTTTCCCAAGCACTGTATGACTGCAACCGATAAACTCAATTTCTCACAAAACTATCAGGTTTTATAATGTTTTTAAGTTCCATGAAAGTGGTTATGGGACCATTAGCATTTAAAATAAAATTTTAAAAAACAAACAACAGTACTAGCCCAGCACCCCCAAGAACAAATCAATTTATTTCCTTGAATGTACAACAATCTGCTTTTCAACATAGCAGCAGTTTCGTGTGTATTTTGTACATTCAATTTTGCTTAAGCTTTTCCACTTCCTGCACAAACTGCTGGTCAAAGTTCTGCAAAACTTCTCTTTTTTGCTTCAAGTGGCGCCTTATTGCATTGGATTTGGCAAGCAGAGTTAGGTTACTGGTACATTCTGCAACTTCTGCTTCATCGTCGACGTCACACTGTAATACTTTGATATATGTGTTGATTTGATGCTTCCTTTTCTTTCGACAATGCATTTCCATCTCCAAATTCTTCATGTTTTCCTCCTTTTATTTGGCAACTTCTGCTTTCAAGTGGGCGTTGTATTGCTGGCTTGCATTACCACCTAATGCGCAAAGCTCTCTAGCAGTTACTACACTGCAGACAATATGGTTCTTAGTCATTTTCACTCTTATGTTTTCTGAGAATCTCCACTCCTCTGATGCCTGGCAACATGATATGGAAAAGAACACATCTATAGCAGATCATAAAAGCTAGTATTTTTTATTCTCCTTCCAGAGCAATTTAGAAGATGTCCTGTCTGCATTCCTGCTAGAAGGTGTAAATTGAATGGGACTGCCTCAATTCTGCAGTTGCCAGCTGTGTGCAGGAACCCCTTAAGGATCACGTCACAATGATGAACATCAACATGGCATCCATAGGCAACTTCAAACATGTTGAGCACCGTGTTTGAAATGCAAGCAGTGCCTGGATTTAACCCAGTTGATGTGTGGACCTGAGGATAACTGATGGATGATTTCTTTATCCCCCAACAATGTTGTGGTTATGTTTATAAGAGAATGCTTGAACTTCCTACTAGAACTGGAATAGAACTCTGTGACTTAATTTTTCCTGGGGGAGAAATTTTTGTATGAGGTAACAAGCACTGGGCATCAAATCCCACCTCCACTTTTTGAGATTTCTGTGAGGTTGTTCTTCTTCATGACATTAATTTTTATTCAACACTAGAGCTGTATTTGCATCAGGAAGTATATTCTCTTTCATGATGTTCTCCGGTTCTTCCTTACTTTCGAAGGGAAATGGACTTGTTGGGACATCAGTCTGATATATTAAAGGGCTCACTTGCTACAGAGATGTAAAATTTTCCCTTTCCCTGTAACAGTGGATCCTTTTGTATATACTTGGCTGAGATAGATATTTAATTAGTTAGGTTGAGGATGGTCGAATTAGCCATGATCTCATTGAATGGTGGAGCAGACTCAATGGGCTGAATCGTCTGCTTCTGCTCGTGTGTGGTCTTGACTTCTTCACCGTTGATTTGCTGATTCTGCCAATTTTGGTGGCCTCATCATACTTCTGCAGTTATGGTCTAACAGGAAGAACTTGCCGTATGACAGTGACATTTTCAAAACACCTCTGCCGATATTACGAAAGGAATTCTAATAAATTTGAGATCGGTTGATCATCTTCAGCTTGACAGGAAATTTGTCAAACTAATTGTATATGCCATGGAGAATCACTTCCAATTTTCAAACAGAAGCTACACATCTGAAATCCATTATGCATGATATGTGTGTGCAGCAGGTGCTTACATTTAAGAACTTCTCTACTTGCTGTTTCTTCACGTCTGCACACAAGAGTCATGAAGTGAGAATTTATAAAAGAGAATCAGAAAATTATTAATAAAGGGGAACAGTTGATCAAATTCACAAACACCTTAACATTTGAGTGTTAAGTCAGGGTACTATCCATGTTGATCAGCCAAGTTTCAGTGGGTTTCCTGTTAGACGTCAAAGCAAGTTAGTTTTGACTGTAGACATGCAACATCACTTCAGACACCATCTCCTGCACCAGGTACCTGTTCTGCTATGTATAACCTTGTTTACCATTCTTTGGCTCTGAACAAAGCGTCTGCCTAGTTCTCCAAAGAGCCTTCCACCTTCACAAAAATCTGCAACTGACACCAACATATGGGCGCATGACATGAGCAAGAGAGAAGGGACTGGGGAGTCTGGCCATTGCCTGCTGTAGTTTGGAAATCTCTAAGACGGTTCATCAGAAATAGCTACATGTGGGCTCAGTCAAACGGAGAACGAAACTTGTACTGAATTAACAGACACCATGAAAGAAAGCAAACAATTACAGGGTTGCAGATGTTGGAAAAACATTGGTAAGGTTGATGTTCGACCCAAAGTCACAAAAGTCACCTCCCTGTCTTTTATAACACAAAACCTTCCCACAGCAAATACTGTGACCTCTCCAGCTCGACTCCTTCTGAAGGCTACAACATGAGCACGTGCTTTTCCCTACCATTCAACAGTATGCAGATGATGATGTCTATGTGCAGTGTGATTTGTTAGGCTTCCAGTTGGTGATATAAGGCTGGTAGGACTTTCAGGAGTAAAGGACTTGGAGGTCCATTCGGACTGTTGAGGCTTGTAGAGCTTTCTGCATATGATCTATCATATATAAAAGTGCATGCTTCTTCAATGGCGTTGGGTTTCTTTCTGAAAATATTTACAAAGTTCACATTTACAAAGTTGATGACTTTTCCAGGTTTTTCAGTATCAGCAGGCACCCTGCGTAGAGTCTAGTGAAACAGTTTGTAAACCTCGATATTTAATTCTTGTCTCTGTTCACTTAACTGATCTCAATCAATGTGGCAACAGGAGTCTACAGTCAAGAAATAGCAAGGTTTATAAAGTGCACAGAAGTCATCAGCAACTCCTGATGATGGATGGACTTGGTCCTTAGAAATAGTCAGGTGTATAGGCTGGACCCTGTAATGTGGTTCGGACCATAGGTAAAGGAATAAGTCACTCAGACCCTCAAGCTGTTTTGCCATTCAGTTGGAACAGGGATGATCTTTATCTGAATTCTATCTGCCTTAATTCCGTAATCCTTAAAATCCCTACCCAACTACTTCTATCAACTTCATTTCAGGGATTTTCAATCGACCTAAACTCAAAAGCATTTTTTCCTTAAACATTGCTAACGTGCCCACTTCCACCATCTCCATTGGCAGTGCATTCCAGACACCCACCACCCTCTGTGTGAAAACCTTTCCCCAGACTTCTCCCCTAAACTTTCCCCCTCTCACCTTGAACCTGTGCCCTCTTATATTTGACCTTTCCATCCTGGGAAAAAGCCTCTGACTGTCCATTCTCTCTATGCCTCTCAGAATTCTGTAAATGCCCATCAGGTTGACCATCAGCTTCCATCTTTCTAGTGAAAACAATCTGAGATTATCCAGAATGCCCTCATAACTAAAACCTTCTAGACCTGGAAACAACCAGGTAAACCTGCTCTGCACCCTTTCCAAAGCATCCACATCCTTCTGGTAGTGTGGCGAACAGAGCTGCATGCACTATTTCAAATGTGGCCTAACTAAAGATTTATACAGTTGTAACACAACTTGCCGACTTTTATATTCGAGGAAGCAAGCATGCTGTGTGCCTTCTTGATCACCTCGTCCACCTGTGTTACCACTTTCTATTTCAAGGAATGCAAGTTTATTTAATCAATCCACAAAATTCAACTTCTTTAGCACACTACACTGTCTTAGATTGAAAGCATTCCAAAATCTGGAACGGCAATGGATATTAAGAAAGATGGTGCAGTACTCATGATCACTAGCAACTTGAACACTGATCTCATGGAATTGCTTTCTATTAACACATGCTGCTGCATCAATTAAAGTGCCCCTTACACTGTTGGAAGCTCCATCAATGATACCCTGGGAAAGTCAGCCCATCAGAAAACAGCCACATGTTGTGAACTCAAGTCCATGGCATGTTGGTTCACTTTCAAATAATGTATTTGCCAAACATATTGGGCAGTAGATTTGGATGTATTGTTGATAACTAGCTCTTTTGTTCAATATCCCATTCTCTATTTCTCTAATCATCAACTCATCCAAAATCAGCTGCCCAAATTATATCCCTTATCAAGTCCTACTCATCACTCCTTCCTTAACCCTCTGGCCAACAGTGACTTCAATAGTCTAAGTTAGAATTTTTTTTAAGTGTCTCCATTGCTTCTGCCCGCTCATGTTTGGAAGCTCTTTCACCCTACCCAAGGAGAAATTCCAGGATTGGCAGAATTGACAAGAGTCTCCTTGTCAATATTGCTGACAGCAATCTATGTCAGAGTTGGTAGCAGCCAAATCCTAGTGAATGAAGTCCCTATGATAGCCCTGGTCCGTGGGTGCTTAACATCGGCCTCGAAATTTAGTGCTAATAGTGGCATTGCTGATGATATTTGATTCAAAGTGTTGGAGACATTCCTGTTTACAAAAGAGAGGCTGCTTTGGAGGCCTTGAGCACCACAGACCACCTGCACTCTATGTGGGGTCTGGACCAAGCTTATAGCCTTGACACTTGGCTCTGCAGATGAATATAAAGTCAATACTGAGCATCTCTAACCTGTAAAACATTCATTTTGTCAATGCCCTGGATTGCACATCAGAAACTGACGTTGATACTTGTAAGATATTAATCCAAATATTAGGACTCTGCTATCGAACACTGGAGATCCTAAAAGTGGAAAATCATAAAAGAATTCCTCATCCTCAGATCCCAATTTTGGGGACATCCTCAATGCATTCACCACTAATTTAACTGCCAACCAGCTGACCTTAGGAGAGGCTATATCTGGGCTACTCTGCATAGTGATATAATTGCAGTAGAACTGAAAACAACAGCTTGGCACATATTTAGTGCCTTTGACAAGGCATTTCACAGAAGTGTTATCAAAAAGAATTTGACCCTGAACCATGTGAGGGGATATACAGTCGGATGGCCAAAAGCAGAGCATTTATAAAGATGAATGCAGAATAGAGAACTGGAGAAGTTGATAGATATCAGAGCTTAGAGCCTTGGCACTGAATCCACAGCCACTAATGGTGGAGGATTTAAAAATCAGTGACATGCAGGAGGCCAGAATTAGACAGCAATGATATTTTGGAGTAAAAACCAAAAGAACTGTGGATGCTGTAAATCAGGAACAAAAACAAAGTTGCTGGAAAAGCTGAGAAGGTCCGGCAGCATCTGTTAGAGTTAATGTTTTGGGTCCGGTGATCCTTACTCAGTTCTGAGGAAGGGTCACCAGACCCAAAATGATATTTCGGAGGTTTATAGTGCTGGATAAGATTTCAGAGAGAGAGGGTTGAGGCGTGGGAGGATTTGAATACAAGGATGTGAATTTTAAGATCAAAACATTACTTAACCAAGTGCCAGTGTAGGTCACCAAGCATAAAGTTTTGCTAGTTCAAACTAACCTCTTTCAACAAGAGATGGAACTGTTATTAACAATGGTAGCTGCCAGTGAAGGATCCCCAGGAAACTAGCTTCTTTTTTAAAACCACATGCTGAATTTCCTCTTACATGCTCAAAATCACTGTTATGCCTTTATTATGCCATAGTTTACAAGTTACTTTCCATTTGCAAAGCTTTGGCAAGTTAATTCTGGAACACTGATTAGAACTGAATTAGGAGAAAAGGAACCAGATGCAGGGGTTGGCCATTTGGCCCGTCCAAACCTACTCCATGATTTAGCAAGACCACAGCTGAACTTTTGCATCAACTCCACTTTCCCACTATCTTTCCTAATTGCTCACTAAACCTCTGAGTTCACTCTTTGTGATTTGTTTACAAGAACAACCAAATCCCCTTGATAAGGAACATTTACAAAAGTTCCCTTTTAAAAAAATTATCCTGTATTTCCATTCTTCCTACCAAAGCAGATAATTATACATATCCCAACCTGAAAGTCTGTCTGTAATCCTTTGAAACTATTCCTCATGTTCCTCACAGCCTCTTGTCTGGGCTGGGCCAGCAATTGGGGTTGGAAATACAAGAGATGCGGGAGTATGGAAAACATTGGTGGCTTTTCCAATGGGATTGGGATACTATAGAAAATCTGTTGGATTTCACCATTGACATTGGCCTCCCACCCATCACAGGCAAAATTACTTGGTAAAGTGGACTTATAAGTCACCATTAGTTGGCCACTTAAAGGCCACAGGCAGACAGTACACCCAAAATTGGAATAGGGCAGGAGGAATGGATAGGTGCCAAGAACTGTGCCCATGTTATTGAGCCCATTTTTATGGGAAGAATACATGCTATAGAAGGGGGTTTGCTTGACTAATTCGCAGGATGGCAAGATTTCCCTATGAGGAGACATTGTAGAAACTGGGCCTATATTGTTTAGAAGGTCAAAGGCTGAGAGATGATCTAATTAAAACTTGCAAAATTCTGACAGATTGCTGGACAGGACACATGCAACATGGTTTTTCCACTGGCTGGGAAAAGTGGGTTTTAAAACCAGAGGGCACTGTCTCAGAATAAAAGGAAAGCTATTTAAGGCTGAGATGAGGAGGGTAGGGAATCTTTGGAATTCTCAAACCCTGAGGGCTGTGCAAACTCAATCATCGAGTCATTTCAAGGCAGCAATTGGTATGTTTCTAGATACTAGCGATATCAAAGGATATTTGCGTAGCACTGGAACATGGGCTTTGAGGTATATAATCAGCCAGGATCTAGATTGGTGGAGAAGGGCTGAATGGTCTACTCCTGCTCCAATATTTCAATGACTGGAAATGTCTGCTAATGCAAAAGCACACGAAAGCACACTTCCCGCAGAAGCCCACTTCCTGTACATCCCACCTTGAGGACACTGCGGTTTTAAAACCAGCTTTCCAGGATTGGAAAGCGGGGCGACCCGAGATAGATTTTTGTTGAGGGGAGGAGTGGAAAGGAAATTCACTGCACTGATGCTGCTTGGCCTGCTGTGTTCATCCAGCTCTACACCTTGTTATCTCAGATTCTCCAGCATCTGCAGTTCCTACTATCTCCGAAACAATTTTAACCCCACTGCGAAGTCTCTTCTAAGGATGCCTACCTTGAAGAAGTTACCCTCCTCCCTCCGGAAAGACCTGGCTTTCCTGCTCCTCTGATGCTGCTTGGCCTGCTGTGTTCATCCAGCTCTACACCTTGTTATCACAGTTCCTGAAGGCAGCAAATATAACTGTGCTGTTCCAGGAAGGAGAGAGAAACAAAGCAGGAGCTTCTAGCCAGTATCCTGACTTCAGCAAGCGAAAAATAAGTGCAGAATTGATTGGGACACTGTAACAATAGGATGCATTATGGCTGCAAACAGCGGACACTCAGGAGTTTTTAGTCCATTCAGTGAGTTTTAGTGGGATTCATAAATTGTGAAAAGGTGGGACCAGAAAGTGACTGAAGGAGAATGTTCTCACCTGTTTATTTCCACAGAGGTGGCGGCTACGTTTTGTCCCTTAGCAAATGTGCATCAAGCGCCGATGTGCTCTCCGTGCCCAGTCTCTCTATCTGTGTGTCTCCACTCCTTCAAGTCAGATCTGAATGCACGTGACCAGAAGTAGTTTCGAAGGAAACAAGGCAACGTCATACAGGAAAATGTACACAACATAACAAAGTTAGAAAGTTACAGCCCCTTGTTCTTCTTCAATGCATCCATCCCATTGTTGGGTTGTATCTGGATCGCTGTAGGATCGGGGGCTGCGTTGGCCTTTTATCGAATTCCGTATCGATGGGGAGGCGCCGGGGTTGGACTGGGATGGACGCGGACAGAAGTCGCACGACTCCGGGTCACAGTCCAAAAGGTTGTAAACCTGTGTCGTGTGGCTTCTCACTTTCGTATTGGGTTATGCCGGGTCGTATCAAGACCAGGGTTTGAAAGCATCAGGATCGGTACCGCATGATATCACGCCCAGACTGGATTTTTCAGTTCTGAGGAAGGGACACTGGACCGTCAAGTCTCATTTGTCACCACCGATGAGCTTTTGCAGCAGTTTCTATTTTTGATTCTGGTTTAGAACATCCGCAGATTTTAATTTATCAGTGTTGGGTTTTATGAGAATCGGTGTCGACTATATCAGGATCTCTGGTGAATTATATCAGCATCTGTTCTGAATTACATCTGGATCAATGCTGAATTATGTCAAGATTTGGGGCAATAATAAATCATTTATTCATTCATGAGTTATAGCAGATTTGTGCTGGATTGAATTAGGACTGGATTATATCAGGATATCTGTGTTGGATTGTATTGGAATTAAAACTGGATTGTTAGGTTCAATGATGGATTATATCAGGGTCAATATCGGATTATGCCAGGATTAATACCAGATTTTAGAAGGGTTTTCTGAAGGGTTGTATCAGGATCAACACTGAGATCATTCGTCAGGATCTCCAACATTCCAATGCTGCTCTCTTATGGACATGAAAGATAATATTTGAAACTTTCCTCCCCTTGTAATTAAAACCTCTGTGATTGATCAGCATTGGATATTAGGTGCAGTTTGCCTTAACCCCAGCCATCATTGGAAACCAGTAGTGTTTTTATAACTCATTTGGTACATTGCTTCTGGGTTGTTTCTATAATGTGTAAATGGAGCCAGGACTGGAATAAAATATGGGATTAGAATAGGCAGCTAGTTTATTCAGCCAGCATGGATATGATGGGCTGCATGGCCTCTTTTACTGCTGTAATTTTTCTACGGTTCTACCTAGACATGCCAGCCCTTCAAGATTTTCTTGGAGTCATCAGGAATGAAGTGATCTCACAGACAATGCAGCAAATGACCTAGGAGAAAAATCATACAAAATGTTCACCTTTTTCATTTCAGCCAATTAATTCTTTCATGTGTCAAAGTCAACATCAGTGCTCACTTTCCCTTCATTGGTTTTTGTGCTGCATTATTACTCTGTGGTATCTTGGCCTCCCTACACCTCCCTCCCTATTTGTCCCTGTGGATTATTGCAAACTCTCCAAGAAATTAAAGAGCAACACATTGACAAATAGAAGTGTAATAGAATGTAAAAAGTGAATGAAAAGGTGTATGAGAAAATAAAATATTATAAAGGAGCAGGGAAGCTAGACAGAGAGAATGTCTGATAAAGAGATAAAGAGATATAATGGTTTGGCATTACAGAGGTGAAGCAGGAAATCTAAAGGGAGATTTACATAATAAAGGATGGGAAAAATAGTAAGGTGATTTATCTCAGGTCATTTACAATTATTTATATAGTAGTTGGCAACTGACCCAATCACGGCAATGGTACATGCATTGTTATAATCCCAGTTATGAAATGCTGGACCAGCGAATATTGGTCGACAGACCATAAACATTTAAAGGCTATAAAGCAGGGAAGAGCCAAAGGTAAAAAAAAAGCAGCAGGATTCCATGATTAAAATGAAACACCCAAAGAACTTTTGGAAAATCTCAGATCCACAACCACTCCAATACAGAAAGACCAGTTGTACAGATACATAGGAATACCATCACCGACAAGTCACGCACCATTCTGACTTGAAGATATTTTGCAGTTCCTACACTGTCACTGAGTCAAAATCTGGATGTTCTTCCCTAATAGCATTGTGGGTGCACCTGCAGCAAATGGACTGCAGTGATTCCATAAGACAGCTCATCACCACCTTTCAAGGGCAATTGGGGATGGGCAATAAATGCTGACTGAGGTCAAAGATGTCCACATCCCGTGAAAGAATATAAAATGTCTTCAGGGTGTAATGTGTCATGATGGTCAGGTGAAGCAATCAGTTAAATGGTATTTTTAGGCCATCACCATAAAAGGTGTTCACTAAAGTTTCCATTTTTACAAATTATGAATAGGTAAAATGTCATATTAATAAACCTTATTATCAATTGCTATGTTCCATCAGCCGGAAGTTGCAGCTTTATCTGCTGTTAATGAATTGTCAATTCATTTTTTGTGTGAGAATAAGTAGTAAATCAGAACCCAAGCATATTACAGATTCTTAGGGAGGATTTCCATGTGAGGAAATAAACACAAAGTTGCCTATAACTTACTGCAGATATGAACAAAATTAATCAAAACAGCACTGATAATATTAGTAAAGGGTATTAGTGTAAAGGCTGTGACTTTAATTTTTCTGTATTTTTAATCGTGGACTAAAATGAAAAAATGACTATTTTAAAACCAAGAATTGCTGGAGGATTGGCACATGTTTTGAAAGCAAGTAACCTGACACTCACTGTGAATACTGCTTACACAGCTGCTGGTTCCGGCAATACTTGAAGTGCACTTTGCAGATGACCTGGAGCTGAAGGGTTGAGTACAAATAGAGATTCAGATGGCAACAAATAGCTGATTGATGTGCGGATTAGTGACCAGTTATTGATGGCAAAAGCCTTCTAGCTACCAAAAACTCTGTGATTGGTTCTCAGGTAACTGAACAGCTTGGCATTGCGAACAAGATACAGAGAAATCATCAGATTACCAGATCAGGAGCTGTGTCTGTTCTCTGCAGCAAAATCCACTCCAAACCTGAAGAAAACCAGTTTATTTTTCCTTCAACAGTTTCTACAAACTGTGATTCTTAACTAATAAGCCAGAAAGTATTCTATAAGTGTGAACACGGGTCCTCCTATGCCTCCCAAAAGCCTCTGGAAAAGAAAGACCAAGATGTGGCATTCTAACTAGCACAAGATTATAAGAATCTTCCTGTGATGCCACAGAGTTGCTTTCCAGTCTTTGTCAATGTCCATAACACCCATGATTTTCCCTATCTGTGTCAGCCTATGTATGTATAAGGGAGAGTTATAAGGGGATTAGAGTTTTAACTACTAAGCCGATGTCTCATAATTGTGTATCTTTCAATTTTGAATGACTCTGAACTCTACTCATCACATGCTGATTCCACATGCACAGTGTGGCCCCATATAGTTGGAAGATTCCCTTGCTCACTTGAACGTGGAGCCAGCAGCAAGAATGTTCCTTGCACTCAATCTGGTGACAATCACCTCCCCTTTGGCCACATCATTTGCCCACTCTCCCTGCCCCAATGTATCAGCAAACCAGCTAGCCCTGAAGTCCATTCCAATGCCTGCCATCACCACCTCTCTGCACACCCAGAATCACAGAGGCTTGCGGGTAAAAATAAATATAAGGCATGGATAATGGTTACTAGAAGGAGAAGAAAGCTGGGGAAGAGAAGACCAAACGTTTCTTCATTGTAAGCCAGAGAAAACTGAAGTAGTTATTTCAACTAAAAAAATCTTAGTTATTTCAACTCTTCAGGTCATACTGCTCTTTGCCACCAAGTGTCACTGGTGGATTTGGCACTGAGCTTAACCAACCGAAGTTAAAGCAGAGAGATGTTAAATGCGGCATAGCAATCAGATTTTTACATTTTAATGAAAGCCCTGGTGGTTTCCGGATACCAAAAATAGTGGTGTTAAAATAACGGCACATCGATTGAAACAAATGTTACATCAGAAAGTGCCTGGCTCACATTTTAACTACATGCCCATCATATTTGCCTAAATTAGGTTATAAACAAAGAACATTGAAAAGAAAAATTGGTAATTCACAAGATGATTACACCTACTGATTGAATTTTGTTGATTTTTTACATTTTCATGTTTATGTTTTCATGTTAAGGTATCACATTGTTTTAAAAGCCAAGAGATCAGCTGGTAACATTTTCCTTATAAGGACAATAGAAAGTTAACAAGGAATTGACAACATTCTGAGAAGTGAGATGATTTTTATGATATGTATGTGAAGGTTTCAGAATTCAAACAGAAGGTTATGACTCCACCCTACATGAAGATTTTTCTGAATGTTTTCTTGTTTTTCTTTCCAAGACTAGAACAAGTTGGATATTCTAACAGCTTTATTCCAGCTTAAGTTTAACACTTAAGGTATTAACAACTGTACCTTTCTTGTTATAGACTGCTTGCTTTCATCTCAACCAGTCAAAACATTGCCTTAGATGGCATCATTTGACCCATAGTGCTCAATGATTCTTTATACATGTTGAAAACGTATTTCAAACAATGAGTACAAACAAAACTTACTTGTGTAAAGATGGGAAATGATCATGCTCTCTCTCGGCCTAAATTATTGATTTTTTAACATCATTTATGCTCTCAAAGTATTACTTTGAATTCCTCCTTCTCTGTTAATAGCTGAAGGAAGAGATAAGTATGGAAACTGATGGTTAAGAAGCTTATGCTTATTGTTCCCATCTACCTCCATGGACGTGTTCCTTTGTTCTTAAGGTGGAAGAGATGGGAAAGAATATTTAGAAATAGCATGTATTCAATTTTTAATTCAAATAACTCCCTCAGCCTTTGGGACATCCTTACACAGACAGGTCCTCCTAACTCTGCCAACTGATATTCTTTATATCATAATTTTCTTCAAAAATACATCATTATATTACATTTCAGTAACCTAGATTGGTATTTACATATGTTTTACATGAAACATTCACAGTGAAGTACAAAGCAATGGCGTTTATACTACGGAAGTTACAAATTTTGAAAACAAGCAATAATCCATCTTTACCAGCATACATATTGTGATTTAAATAGGAAAACTAATAGACAGTTGACAATCAGCAATCAAGATACAAATATTGCTCGGAATTTTTCACGTAAAAAAGATACACCTCTCACATGTCAATATAATTGGCTGTGCTTAATTGTATAGGTATTGTACACACTAAAAATTGTGACAAGATTGACGGAGGCATTTTTCTGGAGTCTTTTGCTGGGACTATTTTGAATCTAGGGAAAAGGGGGCCATAGTCTCAGTTTTATATTGCATCTTACTTTCTCTTTGTCTGGTGAATTGTTACAAAGTTAATTAGATTGTTTTTGAAACACTTAAAAAGAAATGTTAGTTACTTCCCTAGTTCTACATGAAGAACATACATCAATTGTTCCAATGGAGCTGAACCCTACAGTGGCTTAATCGACATGTATGGTGACAGTGTAGGTTTTCACCATCACAAGGCATTGTATTGTCTTTTTGTGGTTAACAATTAGACTTGTGACATTCTTTTCCTGCTGCATTTTGGAAATAAACCTGGGGGAATGAGTCAGATGGGAACTCACTGTTAGTCACAGCAACAGTGTTGTTCTGTATCATTACCAAGTACAGATGGAATTAGAACAGTATGAGAAACGTGAGCAATGTGCACCATCCTCCCTAGCACTCACCGAAGAAGAAGGGATTAAATCTGTCCAATATTTTTGGGGTGTGGTATATTTGGTTTGAACTGCTTCGCTGTATTTTTGCATATTTTGATGTTTTTTACCTGTAAATTTTGTTCCATTCTCCTTAGTCATTTGATGGTAAAGCTTCCATTCCAGGTTCTTTGTCTAAATCACGCTAAGCACAATTTTTTTTTACATCCTGAACATGCAGCTGCATGAACTGAGATTTGTTTATTACCTGATGGTAGGTGAAGCACGTTAACCATCTAATGATAACCTTCCTATGCCTCTCTGTGAATCTACTTGTGCTGAGTACATTTGGAAATTCTTTATTAAAGCAGAATCAGGAGTGTGCTGACAGGTGTAATAAGATCTTTAACAAAGCACAGGGTTTCCTTCCAGATCAATAGCAGCAGTACATGTAGGTAGTATTTCCAAAAAAAAAACGCATAAAGGCACCTTAGAGTTGAGGTCAGTTAGTGCTTTCAGTGTTCAGTTGAGGGTTCTTTGCTGATGATATTTTGTAGATCATATTTCCGTCATTCTTTTGGAAAGTATTCACAGTTGTTTACTTTCCCAGACGAACACACCCATGTGCTTGGTTAAGTCATGGGATGGTGGTTTCTGATTTCCCACTATATATGTATGATACTTCTCAGAAAGTGGCCATGTGTTGAAAAATGGCACCTCATTTATTTACCTGTTAGATTCCAGCAGTCACAATAAAAAAAAGGTCTATTCATCTCCGTTGTTCCATTTTCTTCTCTAAACCAAATCTAATGGATTCTTCAGCGCATTGACTGCACAGCATCCTTGGTAGAAACTGTAACTTCTTCTAAAATGTTCAGTCCAATTTATTGTACTTTTGTTTTTGATCGTCCAAGATAATGTTATGATTTCCATAGAACAGTATCCAGTTTGGAGACAATTGTAGAATTTTGACTGGATTCTCCATTAAGTTTTTTAAATTTATCTAGTTAGTAAATGCTTATTTATGATAATGTACATTAGATTTGTAACCACATTTTTCAAAAGTTTGATTGTCACTATTCTATATTAGTGTCTCACGCTGCAGTGTAACATCAATACAATAATAATGTTCATGATAATAAAAGTACCTTTTATTGGACTGTTTACTGTTTGCTGTAAGGGTGACCAAAGAATTCCAGTAATTATATTGTCACAATTCAGCAAACTCTTCTTGCCAAAGTTAATTTGATTAAGTCCACAAGAATTAATTTAATTATTTTTGATCTTGTTAAGTCTCTGCCTTTTAGGAAGAATGCACATTATTACCATCTAGCTGCATGAAGCTTATATGACTCACATCGCAGAAGGTAACAATCAAACCTGTGAAATTATAGCTTCTTTTCCGACCATATCTTTACTACAAATCTATCTTTGAAAAGTATATTTTTAGATAGCAGGCATGAAAGCAACAATGAGTTACAAAGTAACTTTACTTCAATTGAGCCACATGATTACAACTAAATTACAACTATGTAGTCCCTTTATCCTACATAGAACATAATCAGTTGCTCTCTTCAACCCTTGGAGAGCCAGTGTCATAGAGACACAGTATTTGCAACATCTTCCATTTTCAAAGCATAACGTAGGTTGGTGGAGTAGGAGTAGCATTGAAAACGTGACAAGTCTTAATCGGATTGAGGGTGGCAACCTTAGATTCCTGTAATATAAAAATACGGGTTGAAATTAAAGCTTTGAAATTGCTTCCTTAAGTGTATTTTTAGAAACATTCCAAAATTTAGAAACTTTTTTTAAAAAATTGTAGCCTTTGTTTGTGTTCATAAGAATGAGGAACTTCTGATATTGGAACATCTTTTTCTACAGACACCACCTGGTTGTAATGTGAAGCTAGGTTTAATATAACCAGGTATGTCATAAAGTACCAAACTGTGAATCAGTGTTACAATTCCTTAGTTTATAGCACTAGCTCTTATGACCTCTGCAAGTAATATTGCCACCCTATGATCCACCCCACGATTAATAATATTACAGAGTTGGAGGTGAGGTGACCTTTGTGATGAAGAGAATATGGGGTTGGGAGCTCAGCTTAGGATCAAAATGATGCCAAAGTTGCAAATAGTCTGGTTGTACCTGAGCCAATTGATGGGGAAGGAGATTAAATGGTCAGCAAGGATATATTGTTTGTGGTGAGAGTAGAGGTCAATATCTTCAGACTTCTCAATTTTTAACTGGAGGAAATTGCAGATGATCCAGGACTGACAAACAGTCTACCAACACCATGACATTGGAGGAGTCTGAGCAGGTAGCAAGGAGGTCTATTTACATGTGGTCAATATACATATGGAACATGATCCCTTACATTTTGTGATGATATGATCAAGTGGGAATTATAAATAATGAATAATTGGATTAAAGAGCAGTTCCTTGGTGGAGGGCGAAGACAGATCATTGCTGGAAATATTCTGGCTAGATCTACCCTGGCGAGGTAAGAGTAGACCAAACATCAAAATACACTAATCCCATTTATGTGCACTTGGGCCATGATCTACTATGCCCAGGAATTTTAAGTGCTCGTCCAGATGCTTCTTAAATGCTGTGGGAGTACCTGCCTCCACCACCCTCTCAAGCAGCATATTGCATATGTCTAGTTGAAAGAAAATCTCAGATGTCCTCTAAACCACTATCTCCTCATCTTAAATTTATGGAAGAAATTCTCATGATCTATTCTGTCTATGTGAATCATAATTTTGTATACCTCAATCAATTCCATCCTCCCCAGCCTCCTTGGCTCCAAGGAAAACAAATTCAGTCTAACCAGTCTTTCCTCATAATTGATTCTTTTCACTCCAGGCAACGTCCTGGTGAATCTCTTCTGCACCCTCTCCAGTAACATCAAGTACTTCCAATAGTGTGGCAGTTAGAACTGTGCACCGAACTCCATCTGTAACCTAACCAATGTTTTATAAAGTTGTAACAAGATTTCCTTGCTCCTAAATTCTATGCCCCAGCTAATGAAGGCAAGCATCCCGTATGCCTCATCACCATCCTGTCTACCTGTGCTGTCACCTTCAGGGATCTATGTACTTGTACACCAAGGTCCCTTTGTTCCTCTGTACTCCCTAGAGACCCACCATTCATTAAGTATATACGTCCTTTATTAGACCTCCCAACATGCATCACCTTGCACTTATCAGGATTATATTCCATCTGCCATCGTTCTGCCTGATTTTCCAGCTGATCAATATCAGACTGTGGCCTGTGAACATCCTCCTCACTGTCAACAACAACCCCAATTTTCATGTCACCTGCAAAATTACAAATGAAACCTTCTACATTCACATCCAAGTGGTTATTGTACATAACAAGCAGCAAGGGTCCCAGCATCAAACCCTGTGGTACATTGCTGGCCACAGGCATCCAACTATAAATAAAACCCCTCATTATTACCCTTGGGCTTCATTTGTAAGCCAATTTTTGATCCAATTTGTCAACTTGCCTTGGATTCTATGGGCTCTTACATTTTGGTCCAGCCTTCAATGTGGGATCTTTTCAAAGGCCATACTGAAATCCATATAAACCACAACCAACTGCACTACCCTCAATATATTTAGTCACCTTTCTAAAAAAAACTTGATTAAATTAGTCAGACAGGATCTCACTAAAGAAATACATGCTGAATATCCTATTCAATCCCTGCCATTCAACTATTGATTAATCCTGTCCTTCACAATTTTTCCCACTAGTTTCCCCACTAATGATGTTAGACCAACTGGTCTGTAATTATCTGGCCTATCCCTAGCTATCCTCTCGTCAACTGGCACTTCACCTGTGGCAAGCAAAATATTAAATATATCCGCCAGGGCCCCAGTGATCTCCATTGATGGGAATGCAGGATATCAATCCTGTCTGAAGCTGCAAAAAAGACAAGTAGGGATTCTTCATTTAAATGACCATCCTTGGGAATCTGTTTAAATGTGTTCCTGCAGGAATACTCTGTGGAAAGAGAAAGGCCAGAACAATACACCATATTCATCAATAACGGGAAAGAAACATGGCAAATCCTCACACACAAAAACCAAATGACATGCAAGCATCACAGCTGGACTAGACAAAGATAGTAGGAACTGCAGATGCTGGAGAATCCGAGACAACAAGGTGCAGGGCTGGATGAACACAGCAGGCCAAGCAGCATCATAGGAGCAGAGAGGCTGACGTTTCGGGCCTAGACCCTTCATCAGAAAAGAGGGAGGGGAAGGGGGTTCTGAAATAAATAGGGAGAGAGTGGGAGGCGGATAGAAGATGGATAGAGGAGAGGATAGGTAGAGAGGAAACAAACAGGTCGAAGAGGCGGGGATGGGGCCAGTAAAGGTGAGTGTAGGGGGGGAGTGAGGAAGGGGATAGGTCAGTCCAGGGAGGACGGACAGGTCAAGGGGGCAGGATGAGGTTAGTAGGTAGGAGATGGAGGTGGGGCTTGAGGTGGGAGGAGGGGATAGGTCGGAGGAAGAACAGGTTAGGGAGGCAGGGACGAGCTGGACTGGTTTTGGGATGCGGTAGGGGGAGGGGAGATTTTGAAACTTGTGAAATCCACATTGATACCATTGGGCTGCAGGGTTCCCAAGTGGAATATGAGTTGCTGTTCCTGCAACCTTCGGGTGGCATCGTTGTGGCACTGCAGGAGGCCCAGGATGGACATGTCATCTGAGGAATGGGAGGGGGAGTTGAAATGGTTCGCGACTGGGAGGTG